GCTTTGCACTCATATTTTTTCTAATCATCTATTACTTTAATTTCTCTAGTTGTTTTGGTCAGTTTTAAGACTACTGTCAAACCTACAACTTCATATTCATGCACCTTTTAATTAATTAATTAATTAACTTCATTTCTTTTTTTCTTTTCTCTCATAAGACAGGGTTTCTATTTGTAGCCCTGTATCTTGTACTCTCTCTATGTAGATTGGGCCAGCCTCAGACTCACAGAAATCAGCCTGTTTCCTGAGTGCTGGAATTAAAGGCATCCAGCACCATGCACAGCTTATATTCAAGTTTTACATTATCACTCTAGAAAGCTATACTAAAATACTGAATCTGTTAAAAAAAACTGGTATTTTAAGGTTAAATGAAAATATGACATAAAGACATTTACTTAAGAGTAATATACTTTCTGATGAACCATTAAGGATAAGAGAGTTTGTGTGTTACAGAATTTCTGACCTTGAAAAAATAATCAGAAAGCCACCCAAGAATCATTACCCTCCATCATTCGACATGTTGTGGTGTGTTTTCTAGACATATAAACAAGAATGAAGTCAATAACAGAGATAAGAGATACAGAGCCCCCTGTGTCAGCATTTCTACATTTTACTGTATTAGTCTGGCATTTTTAAATTTACCTTTTTATTTGTAAATAAGTATTTGCTTTATGCAATTTTCCCAGTCTTGCCTAAATCTAGTTTTTTGATTTAACCACCAAAAATCATTTTTTTCAGAAACAAATTCATTCTTATTCCCTCTGGAATCTCTTGGGCTAAATTTCCCACCATTCTTGGCAATGTTTCCAATGGACTTGTAATTGCAACTAATTGCCTTTGTTAGAAAATGTGACAAAACAAAATGCATTGGAATAGAGGGTATTTTCTAAAGTTGGCAAGTACTTCCACTAAATGTGTCTGTTTTACTCACAGTGCACTTCATAGACATTTCTGAAACTTGTGACTTAATATGTAGACAGGAGTCTTTTCTTCAGCAAGCAACATTCCAGAGTGAAGGGCTCTTAGAGAAGTCTCAAATTAGGACTATGCCCACTTCAGGTTGGAGGTGGTCACCTGTCATTGAGCCTTTTTCTAGCATCAATTTAATGTCCTAGCTCCTGGTTGAACACCGACTTTCCTTCCAATTTGGGGCAGTATTGTTCTTTAATTTTCTAGAGAAATGCTAGCCATACTATCTCATCAGTTCCTAGTCTGAGTACAATTCTATTCAAACCTGGCTAAAAGTCAATGTTGCACAGGAAAGAACTTGTGTTCTCCGAAGTGTAGTGATTTTCACAGCCTCACCAACTGATTGTCACAACTTCAGTCTTTCCCATTGTGTTGAATCTGGTGTGCTCACCCAGTTCTTTCAAAATGGAACATGATTAAAAATGTGAAGATTTCCACATGCCTGTGTCTCATAATATTCAGCAACATGAAATTTGCATATATGTTCTCCTGATGATGTGGACCAAACTTTACAATAAGTGATTGATAATTTCTTCTTAGAAGAACTATCACTTGCAACATTTGACACGCTGATAGACTGAAGGTGAGTTTCCTTGTTCAGGCTTACGTTTAACAAATTTTAAACACAATTGGAGGGTATTTGCACAACCCTTTTTCCTACCTTAGACCCTGCTATATGTATCAAGGAAATACTATTCCCTTTGATGCAGGAGAAACTTGATGCTATCAAGGATTTACTAATAAACTTGCCTTGGAAATGTTGAATGATAAAAAGTAGAACTGAGCTAAGAAACACTACTTCTAATATGACTAGAAAGTAAGTAGTGTGCTAACCAGGCTTGTTAGAAACTAAGAAAACAATTTGTACCGCAATTGAAGTTTAGGGTGGCCGAGAAAGTTTCTGTTAATGTTTACTCGCCAAGATGGACCTCCAATTGGGCTCCATTCCTATAACAAAAGAAGGCAAGCCTAACTTACTACCAGCCATTAGGTCATGCCCGTATCAAAGAACATGCCTCTAAGGGGCAGTGCTGTGTCACAACAACCATTAAGAAAAAGTTTTCCATTAAGTCCTCTGTGCTCTTATCAGAGAAAGTGTAATTCTGATAGGAGGACTGGATGACCCTGGGTAACAACTATTAAAAAAGAACAACTCTGATGTACTTAATAAATATTTCTGACAATATACTTGCTGCATAAATTGTCCATTCACTTACATGGACAGATTTTTAGCCTCTTGCTTCTGTTGAAATGTTCGAAATGTAACTAGGGAATTGGACCCAAAAGATTTAAGGATGACAGTATATGTGGAATGTATAAGCCAAAGGTATATGTATTTAAGTTAGTAAAGTGTATTTGAGGCTGGCTCCACGTTGGGCATTAGCCAGAGCCAGAACATGCTATATTAAAAAACCTTTTACATTTATTAATCTCTAAGTGTGCAGAGTGATATCCACACTGCCCAAAACTTGTGGATCATAGAGATTTGAGACTCTGAATTTCTTATTGTCATAAAAATGAACTGTGATTCATATTCACCATCATTATCAATTATGGTCTCATTGAAAGCAAGGCATATATGTTTTCTTTAAGTTGGGCAATTCAGCAGCAATTCTTTGAAACACTTTATTGGCCTATAGAGAAGCTTCCAAAGAATCTTTGGCCTATTTAGCTAAGTTATTTTAGCAACTGGAATGGGATATTGCTAATCTTATTCAATGATTATTTACCCTCATATATAATAAAGATCCAATGAGATAGAAGATACTTTAAATTATGTGACTAAATCACTATTTGTGTCTCTGTGCTAGCTCACATCTTGCTGTACTGGCTTCCTTGATGAGGTGGTGTGTAGTTTGGGCAAAATGTATTCAAAAGACCTGATTCATGTCACATCTTGACTATAATTTTGTTTTATAATTACAACAAAATAATTCATATTGAAGAGATATGTCAGCCATTTGATTATTTTAGGACATAGTGTACTAATATTTGTGTAGCTATCATCATACTGGGATAGCTATGTATGGTGTTTCTAAAAGGATGCAAGTGGTTGACAAAACAAAAACAAAAACAAATCCCCACATTTTTAAGTATATTTGTTTAATTCACACAACTGATGTGAATATTACGATTCATGCAATGGAAGTTAATAGCCTAATTACACTTTTAATCGAGCAGTCAACATTAAATTAAACCTCTACAGTGTGCTAACCCAGTGACAGCAGGAGTCAACTCAAAGTTGCTCATCAGAGGCTCATTCAATTACTTAGTAGGAGCCAAGCAACTTAGATAACTGTGATACAACAGGGGGAAAGACTGGGGAACCATCAGAATAAAGACTGTCAGAAAAGAACCAAATAGGAAGTGGATTGAAAATGCATGCTGTCTATACACACATACATGAAATGAACCCAGCAAATGGAGGTGGGGAAATCAGACATGCTCAGCAAAGGCAACAAGCTTGGGAAGAGTAATTTACTGGGCAACAGCAATAAAATGCAATTGCATGAATTTAAAAAGGGGAACAGCAGCAAATAGGTTCAAGACAGCACCTAGGACTGCACGTAGATCAATGGTAGAATGCTTGCCTAGCATAATCATAGCCAGAGGCTCAGTATCCAGTACCATAAAATGTTGAAATGAAACAAACCAGAACAATAGTATGATGAGAGAAAGTTTTTGTCTTGAAGAATCGATTGTTCAGTTTTATTTACTCGTTTAGTTAAGCTATAACCTCTTCCAAAAATGTTTTCACCTTTATCTTAAAGTCCCCCGTAATGAAATCAATAAAGAGGAATAGGTGAAGTAAAGGTTGGGAGGGCAAGAAATAAAAAAAAAAAAACCAAAAACGTAAAGTCAGTGGGTTATTCGAGAAACAGCAGCATGCGACACAATCCTATTTAGGTTCCCAGCTTCCAAAGGAAACAGAAAATTGTCATCTTTCACAAGATTTCCAGGGGCAACAAGAAACAGACTCCAGCTGCTTCAAAAAGGCATATGGGCTGAGACATTAGTGAAATTTATCTTATGTTTTTAATCAAGAGAACAGACTGCATGATAAAGGAGATAGCCCAGCCAATGCCAATTCTACAATAAATATGATATAAAATTCTGAGTGATGGTGCTACAATTTCTTTGGTTGAGTCCAAATCATAACTTCATTAATATTTCAGAAAAGACAATTATGCCAATGATCCAGATAGCCACTCCCAGATGGTCTGGCTTATTCAAGAGCAAAATTTAACCAGTCCAGAGAAATCATAGCCTTCCTGTCATTCACAATGAACACCGTTTTCACAACAAATGAATCATACAAGAGGAAGCTTTTCATAACATAGGCATTACATAGCAGAAGATAATCTGCCAAATACTTTCCATCTACGAATAGCTGCCAATTAATTACACTTTCAAAGCTAGGCCACTCCTGGTTAAATACCCTCTATTTACCTTATTTCCTGCTGCTTCCTGTTTTCTTCTCTGGAGAGAGTTACTTTGTTTTATAAATCGTGCAAGAATATTATTCTTAGGTATGGTTCCCCAGGTGCTTGTTAAGAGCAGATTTTGTTTATAGGGTAATTCTGAAAATGCTATAAACTTGTAGAGATTACAAGTGTGCCTTATTCTATTAACTCACTCAGATAAATATCTGCATTCAAAATCCCAGTGCTCCAAGCTCCGAATAATTTTACTTTCTTTTGTTGTAGGGGGAAAGAGTACTTGCGACTTAAAGAAGCAGTCTTGACTTTTCTTTGTGGTGCTGGGAACTCAACTTTGGGCCTCACATGCGCTAGGCAGGTTGTCAACCACTTGTCATAGCGAATCATTCACGGACTGAGAAATTGTAAAGTAGTTTGGAGCCTATACATGGACAAAATAAAAATTACACCATGAAATCCACAAAAACTTAAAAGCCTTGAACTAGGGAATATCTGCCTCATGTTTATTACAGGAGTCAGTACAATGAGTCTGAAGTCCCTGCTGTTTCTGCAGACAGGAGATGGGTGATGTTACTGCTAATGAAAGTTTACCTGAGATCCGCAGCTTGCCCAGTCTTGTTCGTGCACATCACATCCCTGGTCTGATACCCAATCTGGATGTCCCAGTATCTGTTCTCCTGTCTGTTTTGTCTGTTTCTGTTTCTCTTCTTCTTGATGAGCTCACGGGCCTCTGGGTCCTTCACTGCTTTGCCTCTATCCCTCTCCCGCTCTTTGTTCTTGACACGACGCCTGGCTTGCCTGGCTTGCCGTGAGTGTGGCACTGAGCATGCACTCCAGGGCCCCACCTGCAAGCTATACATGCTCTCCTCTGCCTCGCAGGGGTTTGACTGGCACACTTGGAACTCGGTGAGGTTAGGACAGCCGGAGCCTCCAAACTGTGGCGGTGCAACCACGTGTCTAGTGCGGTGCTGCAGACCGCTGCCACAGGTTCGGGAACACTCAGACCAGGCCGAGAACTCAGACACGATGCAGTCTTGCTGGCACGGGATGAGGCAGGCCTGTTCCAGGAGGGGCTTGGGCTCAAAGTACTCGCAGATGATGTCCTCTGCGAGAATGTCCTGGTCCTTCTGGATGCAGCTTATCTCTCTGACCTGGATGCCTTCCTCTCCCTTCACGCATTCTCGAGCTTTCTCCAGGCTTTTGGAATTCACAGGCTGACACTGATTCCAGGGTCCCAGCCTCCAGTCATACAACTCTTTGTGCCAGTCACACACTTTGAAACAGTTTTGCTGGTTACTGGGTCTCCCAGACTGCTTGCAGTTTGTATGCAATGTCGTCCAGCCTTCCACATGAGCACACCACACAGCCCGGGTCTGGATGCCGCCTGGTCCACAGTCGTCTCCCATGCACCGTCCCCAGGGACCTACAAATCAGCACAAGAGTCAGTCAGCAGGGCTTCGCGAAGAAAGTGACATGCTATTCCCACTTCAGAAAGATGTCTCTAGATTTAGTACATTAACTTCTCCGACATCTTATAAAGTAGGTCTCTATAAGACAACTGGCAAGTAATGATCGTCCCTGGGTACTTCTACAAGAGGGAACTGTGTCAAGGTGTCTATATAAGGTAACAGCTGGGGCAATTGCACTTCGGGTCCTTTTGGGAATACTAAAAGTTTGCTTTGATTCATTTCCTTTATTTCAGGTAGATTGAGATCGTTCCTCATAAAGGGCATAAGAAACTAGTCGCAGAGAAAACCCATTATTCTTGCCTCACATTCTGAACTCTGTCTTAGTAACTGGTAAAGGAAATAGCCCCTCCCGAAAAACTTCTCCCGCAGGCTTTCTTGGCCTGGGCAATTAACTATTTTGCAGAAAATGATCTGTCTCCCTCACCTGCTGTTTATTGTTGCAGGCTGTGACTGCAGAGGTCTAATGGCTGTGTACGGTGTCGCTGATGGAATTTAAAGTGGGACTTCAGGGGAGCTAAACCAGAGAAATCAAAACTCTTTTTTAAAAAGGTACTTGCCACCTTTTAATTAAAAAAAAAAATAGTTCAGTGAATGATAGGGGTGAGTAAAGAAATTTAATTTCAACTAAAACTAAAAAAGCTTTCCCAATTGTCTGACAATACTTCTGATGCCTTTTTTACAGATTTGCAAAATATTCTGTATGAGAGTCATAAAACTTAAGATGCCTCTCAAGCAGACACCACAGCTAAATACTGAACTCAACTCCTGGAATCCAGTTGCAGAGAGTGGGGAGTGATGAGCAAAGGGGTCAAGACCAGGCTAGAGAAACTCACAGAAACAGCTGACCTGAACAAGGGGATCCTCAGGGACCCCAGACTGATGGCTGAGAGGCCAGCATGGGACTGATCCAGACTTCCTGAATGTGGGTGTCAGTGAGGAGGCCTCTGCAATCTATGGAGCCTCTGGTAGTAGATCAGTATTTATCCCGGGCACACCAATGGGCTTTGGGAGCCCATTCTACATGGAGGGATGGTCTCTCAGCCTGGACACATGGGGGAGGACTTAGGTCCTGCATGGGATGATATGACTGATTTTGGACATCCCCCATGGAGGGCCTCACCCTCCATGGGGCGCATAGGGGCCATAGGGTAGGGGCTTGGGAGGGTTGTGGGGGAGGGGTGAGGAGGGGAAGGAGAGGGAGTTGGGATTGACATGTGAAGCAAGCTTGTTACTAATTTAAATAAAAAATTAATTAAAAAGATGCTTCTCAAAAAGGAAACTTTGTGGCATGTATAAGACTTTAGAATTAATTCTTCTATCCATTATGTTTGAATAAAACTGTCAGCCTATTTCCCACCAAAAACACATCACTGAAAGACAAAACTATACACTGCTTGGTCAGTATGTTAAGCATAGGTGCTAACTAAGAATCCAAATCCGAAAGTGACCCAAGAGGATTTCTTGATGTCCTTTTACTTTCTATATTTAATATTAATTATGATATTACATAAATTCATCAATGTTTAGTGTTTTATCCCTAGAATAATACCAAGAGAATAATATAGAAATGCTGTGGTGGCATACCTTTAATCCCAGCACTTTCGAGGCAGAGGAAGGCAGATTTCTGTGAGTTCAAGGCCAGCCTGGTATACTAAGTGAGTTCCAAGACAGCCTCCAAAGTTACAGAGAAACCCTGTCTCGAAAAACCAAACCAAACCAAAACCAAAAACCAAAACTGTTCACAGTGTTGACCGACTGTACTCTGAAGACTGGTTAGATGATTTTGCATGCCTTTCAGATAGGGCACCAATGATGGGCCACACAAATGAATCCACCCACGCCTCATTTGGTGAACCAGTGAGTTCATTAGGGTTACTAATGGAGTATAGGTGGATGACTAACAGACATCTGCATCCCTTCAAAATCCAGCTAGCTACATCCTTAGACTTCTCTGCCCAACTTGTAGCCTGCTCCATAGGAGAGAGTTTCCTCTTGCTAGCAGTTGTTTATGGCATACATGAGATTGGGGAGGAGCTGTGTTCCTTGAGTAGAATAATAATAGTGAGTTTTCTCCAAGGCTCATGACCTATATAGTTTCAGGTTCACAGCCATTTTACCAATGTCAGGTATTTGTTCCCATGGAAAAGGCCTTAAATACAATTAGGAAGTGGTTGGTTATTTCAATAACATTTGAATACAATTACTCTGCTAAAGGACCACAGCAACAAAATGAGTCCTAATGACATAGTGCTATGTACACAGATCAGTGCTTCATTCAGCCCTCATTAGAGAAGTTTCTTTTTGCATGGATAACCCCCAACTTGACAACTGGAGGAAAGTTAGAGAGTTTGAACATTCATTTCTAAATGGGTGTCTTCATCAAAGCTTTCTCTTCAAGGCTCAGGGGTCTATGTGGAAGAGAATCAGAAAGACAGTAAGGGACAGCCAGAAATGATGGATGACTCCAAGGGAACAGTGTCTTCCAGACACAGCAGGACTGATGTATATTTGAGCTCACAGAGTCTGTGGCTGCAAACATAAATCCTGTAGAGTTTCAGACCAGATGAGGTCCAAGCATAAAGGACACAAGTACAAGCTGTCATCCATAAGAAACTATCTGCAATTGATACCCATGGCAAAGGCAAAATCAATTTTTCTCTAATGGACTCTCACTGAGTATATGAGTCAGGTTAGGACCTATGCTTTGCAGTATTTGACAAATACAAAATGACCTAAATGTCATCTTACTTTGCTTTGTTTGTTCTTTTAGAATTTTGCTTGTATATTTTGAGTTGTGCTTTTGTGGAGAGTTTGTGTGTGTGTTTCTTTTGCTGTTTTGTTTTTGTCTTTGTCTGTGCTGGTAGGAGAACATAAAGTTGGGTTGGTATGTTGGGAGGATGCAGGAAGAATTGTGGGATGGGAAAACATGATCAAAATCTATATATGAACTATTTTCAATAAAAGAAAAGCTTAAAAAATGGGCAAGGATCCTTCGAGTATTAGAACTTCCTGATCTTTTAGATTATGTTTCATTACTTTTATGAATTGTATACTTTCCCCTCTATCACTCAGGAGTAAATGTATCAGCTCATAAGAAATATTTATATGACAGGCAATGACAATAAATACATGAATAACTGACTTAAAAATTTCTATTTGATGCTTGATACATAGAAACATATGACATCAGTTACTGTAAATCCAGCTTACTAGAAAAATGAGAACATTTTCATTTTGTACTCTTCTCAAACTTCTAAATTATTGATTTTTAAAAATTTTTCCATTGTACATATTCATTGTATGTGGTCCCATGGTACATAAGGATACTCACACATGTACATAGTGTGTATTTATCATTTTGGGTGTATTGAATATTATACATATATGTGGGCCATCTTTCACATATATTTGATTATATTTATATATACATAAAATTTGCACTGTGACTAATTTAGTGTAATAACTCATTGCATTCCATGGTTTGTATCTTTTAATTTCCTGATTTACTCTTGAAAGAATACCCTCAGTTATTTTTATAAAGAGAGGAGTTAGTTGGCAGATATTAGTACTGAAGACACTACATCATTGATGTCGCTTGCAGCAGATAGAGATGGAGCTCAAGAGAACTTCTAGACAATTTTGCACCAACCGATAATAAGACTCTCTCAAGATACATCAATCATTAGACAAAAGGACATGTTACGAATGCAACTACAATTCACTTCCAGTTCTAATAATATGAGAACAGATTCTTACTGACTCCTCACAGACAACATGTTCAGTTTCATATATTCTCACTCCAAGAACTGGATGACAGCATCCCACAAAAATGCAATAGAGTTCTATAAAGACACATTTAGTAAAAAAAAAAAAAGCATGAATGAGGGTAACTGCAAAAGCAGAGGTGGCAATACAATCACTATTGAGAGAACTCATGCACCTTGAAGGCTCTAACTGCTATCTTATCTTTTCATTGCACCTTGAGTATTGCATGTGTGTCCAATTAAGTACTCTCATGGAAGATCAGATTTTCAGCCCAGGATACCCAATGAATGGCTGGCTATTTATGCCCTCCAAGCAGACTTGAAATAATCACACTGACTAGAATGAAGACCATATCTAAAATTGCTCTTGACAACCAAGCATAGTTAACCCAATTAGCTACTGTTTCTAAGAGTGCACATAGCTTAAAATACAGATTGAAAACACAGTATGCAAATTCTATTGAGGGAAACAAAAAGCCCACTGCCAATCATGATCTGAGAAAGTGACATGTGTCCTTCACTATCTCTGTGCGAATGTTAAGATTCAGCCTCACAGCTTGCGTTACCATGAGTAAGAACAGGTGGAAAGGGGGTAGGGTTTGTGTGTAATTTCTAACATGATCAGTAAGAATTTCCCTTGATTTGAAAGCAGCTTCATTTATTCTTGTTCATGATAATGTATTGGAATCTAATAGGGCAAGAGGATAATAAACAGCTTTCTCCTTTAGAGCTTGAATACTATCACTTTATGAATAGAAATGCATTTGTGTGTACAGATTTGTAGGACTGTGTTTATTCACTATTGCACAAAATCTGTCTAGGATTTAGGTCAATAAATATGTGTAAAAACACAGAGCTTGACAGATTTTATGCAAATCTGGAGAGAAATATTGGATGTCTTGTTCTACCAGAAATAAATTAAAACAACTGTTTTTATGCCCCAAACATTTATGTCATTAATTCTTACAAAACAAATATTTTCAAATAGAATGCATATAAAATTAAATAACTCTGAGACAAAAAAAAAAAAAAACATTAAGTGAATGTTTGTTGGCTTCGTTTCCATGCAGCTAATATTTAAAATACAACTCTATACAAACTTTGAAAAAAAAAACTGTGGCTAAAACATTAGAATATCTTTTTTTCTTTTTTTCCTTTTTTATTAGAAAGTAAATTATTTTACATGTCAA